ATTAAACTATTAGTAATACCAACAAAAGAGTGATGTGTCACTGGTGGTCCCTTCGCTGCCATCAATGGTAATAAGATCTAAGTTCCTCTAAGACACTTTGACACTAGTAAATCAATAGCCCCAAGGCTGCGGTTCTGACAGAACAGGCTGGGGTGCATTTCATTTAACTACAAGTGACTGGTTTTAATACAACCTGACAATATTGTAAGAAGTGTTCCACCTCTCTGTCACTGCTGTGTGCTAATAATAAAGTTTAAATGACTATAAGAGAAGAAATCAATACTGCTTCAGGCAGGAAACATTTTTGTGCCACTTAGAAAACGGCAAGTACTGACCTCTATTCTGGTAGTATGAATAATTGTACTTTACAGCTACTGATTTGTACATTTCTTCCAACACAGGGGACGATGTAGAGAAAGCAAGATAGAGCAGTCGCCATTCACCCACACCTGCTTTAAATTGGTTTGTAAAGAGAGATGGGGGCAGGGAAGTGACAGCTGATGAGGTCATATGTCTAGAAATGAGCCCAATCTAAGCCTGTGTGGAAAGGTAATTGCATTCACCCAGAAGTGAGTGAAATGGATGAGGTTTCTACACACATTGGTGACAAAGAGGTGCATTTTTAGACTTCATGGACCATATATTTCTTTACATCTGTTTACAATTTGTTAAAAATGACAGTATCTTTTAATTGAGAGAAACCAGTGCGTATGTAGGGGTGAATGTAGCTGAAGTGTAGATTAAACTGTCTTCTGTGTATTGCCGAATACATCTTGAGAACTTTGAAAACGAGTAATGGATTGCATTGGTCCTCTGCTGCACTGAAGAGCATAAACATGTTGGAAGTGATTTTCCTGGCGTTGTACTCTCTCTACCATCTGCCATTACGAGGGGGAACAGATACCCTTTTTTGGTGCCAGAAAGCATTCCGGCACATTTCCCACCGAACCTGAACACTGACCCACAATGTCAAACGCACCACAATGTCAAAACGCCATTATTTTTCCTCAAGCGACAGTTTGGCAATAGACCATTCGCAGTAATTACGTTAATGTCTCAAGTGGATGTGGTTACTTTGAGACGCTATTACACAAGAAAATATATAAAAGCTTTCACATTTCAGTAATTTTGATAATGCCATTATCTAAAGCGCTGCAGAGTGAGGCTGAGGTAGTGGTTGGAAACTCCAGCCAAGGATACGAGCGGTTGCCAAGGTTTTGTAACTCTTGATTATGGTATTACTTGAAACCAGAGTTGGTGTATTATGGACAAATGTAACCCCCCCGAGGTACCGGTTCAGTGCCATCTTCTTCAATGAAACATAGTCTGTTATGGTAAGAACGTCTTGGTCAAAGTGATGAAGTTTTTTTTGTAGGATGATATGGAAGTTAGCATTGCATAGGCTTTCCATTGGATTTTGAAACTTTTCAGAAAATAAGCTCTGTGGCCACAAATGTTATTATACACCAAACAAATGATCGCGATCCTATGACTTCAGGTCAACACCGCTGAGCTAAAGTCTGCTGTTTGGTGAGATGACATTTAGTAGTCTAATTTAGCCACTTGTTAGCAATTGTCATTCGAAAACATTCAGACATTCACGAAAGCCTTCCGTAAGTTTGTGTTAATCGCAGACATTATTTAGGGAATCTGAACAAAAGCTAATACAAAAAACCATTGACTTCATGGCAAAAGAGTCCGGAAGTGCTAAAATGCTAACACTTTTCTGGATTCAGGACTCATTCCTGCACTAATCTAATGCGACAACAGCAAACAACCTATCTGAAGTACAAGAATGGAAAATCCCATCAAGAAGGGATACTTGTCTCATTTACTTTGTAACAATTAAGCTGCCTTTAAATTATTGTTGAAAACACCCTCTACTGTACTTGGCGTGGCATGCAGGGTTTCCCACACATAGACTTTACTTGGGCGGGCTGCTCAGGTATGTTAACGTCCGCCAAAGTATATTCCGCGACCCATTTAGGCTAGGGCTGCTCAATTAAATCGTATTTTAATCGCAATTACGATTTTGGCTTACAACGATCATGAAAACAACATAATCAAAATAAAACTATTATTTGTTTTTATTGGTTTTTCAGTTGAATTATACTTAAAGTTCAGGGTAATCAACTGTTCAAAACATACTGTTCAAAAAATGTTTTTCAATAAATGGATGTTTTCAATGTAAATGGATAATCGTTTTTAATAATCGTGATATCAATTATTGACCCAAATAATCGAGATTATGATTTTTGCCATAATCGAGCAGTCATAATTTAGGTTTGAATTTTTTTTATCCGTCCGCGAGCATGACGCCATCCGTGAGCATGACGCCATCCGCGAGCATGACGCCATCCGCGAGCATGACGCCATCCGCGAGCATGACGCCATCCGCGAGCATGACGCCATCCGCGAGCATGACGCCATCCGCGAGCATGACGCCATCCGCGAGCATGACGCCATCCGCGAGCATGACGCCATCCGCGATCGATTAACTAGTGGACAACGGCCCATCCTTTAAATGTTTGCTCCGCTGTCACGTGGAGGATCTGCTTCATGCGCTCCGCAGTAACCCCGCTGCGAGGCTCCGGCGAACAGTTCATGAGCTCCACTAGCACCCGCCCCCCCCCGTTCTCGACAACCGCCACAAGTATATTTCTGATCTGTGGGAAAAACTGGCATGTAGCTTAACATTTCCAATGAGAACTGACCAATGTTCGAAATATTTTAACTTTGATTGTCGAAACCATTGAGTTAACAACTCTATGGGACAGACAACAATTAGAACAAAGGCCTATCGTGTTGAATCAGCTAAATATAAGTCAGCAGCTCAACTATTAGGTAATTCACTTACAATAACAATCTTTATGGGCTCCATTGTTCAATATGTCCAAATGTCTCCAACTTCATTTCCTTTTGCCACGTCTGCGGTTTGTAAATAAACGTTGTCCCAAGCTCTTCCCTTGCAAAGCATTTCCACTTAAATATCCTATTAAAAGGGGCTCCACTTACAACCATACAGAGTGGTTCAACAAACGCTGATGAGTTTATTACCGAAAACCTACAGAGTTGAATTGGCATTTTGTTTTGCCCCAGTCTCTTCTAGAATATTGCCAGTAAAGACCTATAAATATCAGATTTTAAAGATGCAACGTCTCTTTTTCCATTCAACCGTTCACATACTGACACAATGTGACCTGTGGCGTTGGTCGCCTCGCACACCAAGTAAGAGATACAACCAGAAACTATGGGATTGACTTTGTTCCACATGCTGGTGCACTAAACCTGCCGTGATCATGGCAACAAGCTGACTTGTACCCAATTGGTCAAAGCTTGTGATCATCCGTCATGAACAGTCGATTACATTTCTCTATTTCTTTATAGTACTGCCATAAAAAGGGAATGCAAACACTGCAGTCTTTTAAATCAGATCAAGTGATACTCATTGGTTGTTATTCATGAATCTTCTCTGTTGAGTTTTTACTGTGGCCTTGGCGCAGATAGTTAGGATTTCCTAGCCAAGCTGAAAGACTACAAACTACCAAATATCAGGTTAAATCTCTGCTACAGCTGCTGTGTTTCCTACCAACTATAAAGACTTCAACTTCAAATTACCTTTCAATATGTAGGTGAAACATAAAGAGAATGTGCTCTACTCTTCATCTTAAATATCTTAGATCTCTTCGAATGCCTTAAGAGCAGAATCCCATGAATTAATAAGTTAATTTCTTGTTTTCAATCTTTTATTATGCTATTCCATTCCTTCTTCTAGGTGTAATATCAAATGTTAGCGTGGCTAGAACATCAAAACATCAAAATATGAGCATGAAGAGAAATTTAGGGGACATTTTGGTATTTAAATATCCACTTTGAGTCCTAAAGAAATACCATTTATAACAAGCCTTCCCACTATGAGGTGTTATCAGAAGGCTCTTACCAAAATGTGATTAAAATGTCAACGCTTGATTATCTTTTTAAAGAAAAACGGACCCCACCATCAAGAAGACAAACTGACTCAGTGAAAGCATTACGTTTGACCCTCAAATGACCTTGTTTCTGAATCTCAGAGCACGAGGACAAGACACCTTCAGCCAGACTTCAGTGGAGTACAAGATGTGGTCAGGTCCAGGCTGTACATCATCCAGAGTACTCCACGGTGTGATCCACTCAGCTCTTCATTGTTATCAACAAAGACTCCTGCTCAGGGGAGAAGTGGTGCATGACAGCTTTCCATCACGACTTACAGCCAGGATGCTAACACACTCTGACCTGACGCCAACAAAACAAGTTGCTCTGAATGTGGAGCCATGACAGAATCGATCAGACCAGCTTCCTTAAAGCATCGGGCAGGTAGTGGAGTGAAGGATCATGGTATTGATCAGGTCTACTTGAGAGGGTGGGGTAGAAAGTGAGGTCGTCCCACCAAGAGACCAACAGCACAACTCTGCCTTGCACATTCTCCAAAGACACACACACACACACACACACACACACACACACACACACACACACACACACACACACACACACACACACACACGTGCAAACACACAACAGCAGTATGCTACGCTAGCTTTGATAGCATCTGCGTGTGGAAATGTGGAAACCTTACAGAAAATAGACAGAGGATGCTCCTTGAAAACGATGCAACTCCGACGAAAGCATCCATCTTCTCACACACTCACACACACACACACACACACACGATGTGATTGCATATACGCACGCCGACTCGCGGTGAGGCTAAGAGTGGGAGAATGTGAGGCGGGCAGCAAGCGCAGCGTGTGCAGCTAGCTTGTGGTGCTAAAATGGTAGATCCCATATTTCTCCCCCATGCAATCTGCCACCAGCAACCGTGAAGGCAAAACAGGAAGAAGACGAGCGGAGATGCAGGAAGAGAGGAAGACATTTCCTACGCCTGCTCTCCCTCTCATAGAAACACACAGATAAAGAAGATAGAAACGCAGAGGAGGCGGGAGGATGTTGGTGGTACTTACATGAGGACTCTGTGCCGAACATGGCTGGGCCGGGAGCTGTGATGGAGAGAGGAGGAGGAGGAGGAGGAGGAGGAGGAGGAGGAGGAGGAGGAGGAGGAGGAGGAGGAGGAGGAGGAGGAGGAAAGGGGGGGGTGAGTGAGAGAGAGGGGGGAGGTTGATGAGCAGGCAGCTACACAGCGGGGGTCATCAAAGCAACACAATGCAGCCAGGCGGCCGTCGCTGCCTCCCCAAACGTCCAGATGCCCCAACGCCACTATCCGTTGCGGCTTCAGAATCTCCACTCCACACACACACACACACTCACACACACACACACACTCACACGCTCACACGCTAAGATAGTCCAAAAAACAGGAGGCCTTGTGGAGGATTACAAATAAAAACAAGCAGAAATCCTTCACAGACTGTGGTGAAGTCCAGACGCTGAGATGTAGCTATAGCTATCTCTTCTCTTTCTGCAGTGTGTATCCTCCTCCTCATCCTCTCCACTCCGTCACTCTCTCACTCCTCATTCCACTGTAGTGTTTACTAATGGAGAGACAGAAAATGGTGAGAGAGAGAGAAAGAGAGAGAGAGTGGGGGAGGCTTTCTGGGGGAGAAGGGGGATAGAAAGGGAAGGGGGTGAAAAACTCAGAAATCTGGTGAGGAGCTGCGATAGCTGCAGCCGCTGTAAGACAATGGCTATGCAAACAGAGAGTGACGTCAGAACAGGGGGGGAGAGAGAGCTGTAAAAAGACTGATGGACTACTGCTGGCAGATGGAGGGAGAGGGGGGGGAGGCAAGGAGGGAGAGGGGGGAGAGTCGAGAGGAAACAGGACAGGGAAGATCGAGAAATAGAAGTGCAGGAGTCGAAGAGGGGGAATGGAAATGGAAGGGCATTAGGGAAAAAGGTAAATAAAGGAATAAGGAAGGAAGGAAAGGAAAGGGAAAAGGGAAAGGGGAAAGGGGGAGGATAAGATGTTATAGAGGGGGAGACGGATAAAGAGATACAGGGGGGGAGGAGGAAGGCAGCTGGGGCTGAGGGGGAACAGGAGAAACAGAGCGGGAAGCAGGCCAATCAAAACGGTTTGTCTACTTTGGAGGCAAAAAAAGCCAACCGATTCTGGGGGTGGGGGGGGGGGGTCTGTCATCTCGACAAATTGAAAAGAGTACGGGACATTGCTGTGTGTTTACCTACAGTTAATAACACACACACACACACACACACACACACACACACACACACACACACACACACACACACACACACACACACACACACACACACACACACACACACACACACACACACACACACACACACACACACAGCACACACACACACACCACACACACACACACCACACACACAACACACACACACACACACACACACACACACACACACACACACACACACAGCTAAGCAAAATGTTCTGTTGTTGTAATCACAACATCATCCATCAAACCGGCATAAACACAACCTGTGTAACCCTTTGTTCAATTTTTTTTTTTTAAATCAAGTCACAGGTGTCGTATTATATCATATCTTATTTTTGTTGTTTTCATTTTCGTTGAACAGATAACCAAAGCGAACATAATTAAAAAGCATTTGATTTAAATGGATAAACAAAACCACGACTGAGACATTCAAATCTTTCAAAACCACACGCCTCGGCAAAATGCATCGCATGTACCGAGATGTATTTAAATAGGTTTCCAACCACGTGAGTGATTGAGCATTTATTTAGTATCTGCACGCTCTGGTACCTGCTGTTTCTAAATCAGGACTGATAATAGGACCCCTCCCACAGAATACAAATCATATCTACCAAAAGACAAATAAAGCTGAAAGTCCAGCTGATTAAAGTGGAAACAAAGCAGAGATGTGACATTTCAAATTAATATATTTTTGGGCGATTTTGCAATAAGCTGCATTGCATCATATGTTTGTTTTTTCAACATCAACTGGAAGTTAAACACTTATGGTGCCGTCATTCACCTCCTTGAAATGCATGAATATGGTGCACTTTGTGAGTTAAATAAAGAGGTTACATATGGAAATGGTGTGCTCTTGTAAATCATTTCTGGTTACACACACACACACACACACACACATACATACCATGTATACATCACTTCAGGGGACATTACATTGACTTACATGCATTTCCTGGAGACTTATCCTAACCTAAACCATAACCAACACATGCCTAACCCTAACGGCCCGTCCACACAGCGGCGTGCGTTGAAGCTTCCAACGCTTCTGCCCATTCACTTTGAATGGGGTGACGTCACTTTTAGCCGAACTGCATTTTGGGAAGCGACGTGGAGCGTTGCTCCCGTCAAAAGTTGAGCAATGTTCAACTTTTGACGCCTCGACGGAGGCGTCAGCCAATGAAATCCCATCCATCCATCTTCTCCCGCTTATCCGTGGTCGGGTCGCGGGGGTAGCAGTTCCAGCAGAGAGCCCCAAACTTTCTTTTCCCTGGCGACATCAACCAGCTCTGACTGGGGGATCCCAAGGCGCTCCCAGGCCAGCGAAGAGATATATCCCTCCACCTGGTCCTAGGTCTACCCCTTGGTCTCTTCCCAGCTGGACGTGCCTGGAAACACCTCCCTAGGGAGGCGCCCAGGTGGCATCCTAACTAGGTGCCCGAACCACCTCAACTGGCTCAATGAAATCTGGCCCAATGAAATCCCGTTTATGCAAATCTGCCAGTACAAGCACTAGCCAATCAAACCGCGTGTATGCTGGGAGAGACTACGCAGGTCATTTCCTCATATTCAAAAAAATGGAGGGAACATTTATTATAGCGGTAGAGAATCACCCGGTGCTGTATGATCAGTCTCTGTTCATCTACCGGGATACAAACCGGAGGAACCAGGCATGGAGGGAGGTGGCAGAGACAGTGGGTGAATCTGGTAGGTTTTCGCCTGTTTGGGGATTTTATATCCAGTTTACTTCGTTTTAACATTGCTATTGCTTTGTATGTCGGGGGCAGGAGATTCATGTGATTGGTTGTTGGTCGCGTTGCTCGCAAAAAATCCCCAAGCTTCAGATACGCCCACCTCCAAGCGTCAACGCACGCTGCTGTGTGGACGCTCCGTAACCCTAACCCTAACCCTAACCCTAAACCTAACCATGTCTTCACCCTAAAAGTAATGATTCCCCTCATGGCGACCTCCAATTTGTCCCCATAAGGAAGGCGAGTCCCCACAAGTGACTGTGTAAACAGATTTAGGTCCCCACAAGTATAGTAATGCTAGGACACAAACACACACACACACACACACAAAACGCTTTGACTTAATGACACAGCAAAAACAGCAAGCCAGTTCATTGCTGAGAAGTGTTGAAAAAAATGCTGGTTAATATGAAATGAACTGGACGGACACATAAGACTACGGTGGGTCACACCTGTGTGTGTGCTCGGGCAGGGCCTCGCCGTGTCCGGCCGCCCCAACCAGGAAACAACACCAGCCAGCCAGCTCACACTGTCTGCTCCAGCAGCGAGACGCGCAACGTCCCGCCAACACGGCACCCAGAGCCCACGCAGTAATTTTGTTATTACTGGTGTCAGTTTGCTAACTAACGCCATTGTAACACATAATCACGGATGTTCCGCTGTAACGGTGGTTGACTAATCAGAACAGAGTGGGCGAGCTGACCAATCAGAGCACACTGGGCTCACAGGTGGGGGGGGGCAGGAGCTCCAACAAGCCGTGTAGGACAGAGAGTGAATACTCATACTATACAGAGATGCTGTGAGAAACCAATGTGAGTTTGGAACATTGAACAATGTGAATCTATTCTAGTAGACCTCAACAATGGAATTATGATCAGTAGAAATGGCCATGACATGGGACCTTTAAATGGACAGAAACAATTAAGGGGTTTGAAATTGTAAATCTACTATCCTTCACAAATCATGGTTTGTCACAAGGCTGCTTTATTCAAGACATGTGAACCCTTTTCTGAGCATTACATCTAAATGAATGAAGTGAGGCTGCCTTTTTCACGATGCATGGATACCCCGATGTGCATGTAGCGAACACGCTGCACGTGATTAGTCTCATTATTTATGCATTCTGTGAAACTTGAATGAAGTATGAAGCCTTTAAATGTAGTAAAGTGCACCCAGAAGCAGTGAGTGTGCAGCAGTGATGGACATGTTGGACGTACAGCAGCCTGCTAACCTAAAGAGACGGGAGGTCAGCTGTGAATGGGGTGAAGCTAGCTAGCATATGGATTAGCATCGCGGCTGAATAGAGGAGTGTGTACCGACGGAGGCCTCGGTTCTTTTGTGTCTCACACCCTCCTCCTCCTCCTCCACTAACGTCTTTGTCCTTCAGGCAGGAGGCCCCCTCTCTACTCCTGCTGCACTGCAAAAAATGGGTAGTCTTGTAGAATTATTCAAATATATACTTTGGGATGTCCCAACCAAGATTTGTGTTATGTCCTGATCTCAATTAGAGTCGTTTAATATTGGTAATGTGCTAATAAGGATATGGTGATAATATGTGACATATTGAAATAAAAAATGTGGCTTGTTTACTAGACCAGCATATTTTCCACGAGGTTCCTTGATCAAAGTTACTGGTTAAAACTATTTATCCTGAATACAGTGGTGCAGGACTGAGTCCTAAAACTCAGATTTTTTTGGTATTTTACCACTTCTAATTCCCTCGTCTCAAAACACCTTTTCAACATGTTTTTAGTTAGAAGCCACACTTACTAAAGAGATGTTATCATGTTGTTCTACGACAGAAATAAGGTCAGTTAACACCCACTGGTGAATGTACAACGTTTCTATGTGCCATGCAGTAACAGGGTATATGCAGGAATCCTGAAGTCTAATGTAAGACCTTTTTTAAGACCCTTTCCATACATTTTAAGACCTCATCGCCACTTGGAGTTCTAACCGGTTACCTTGGCGACACACTTTACCTCACATTGACTATATACAGTATTGATTGTCCTTCCTCCTTATCTTCCAACCATTTGGACGCAGACTTGCATTTCCCCATAACGATGTTGTTTAGCAACCGGCGTAAACGGACCTTCGCGCTATCAAGCAGTGAGCGTGCGATGTCCTGTTCAGATGACGTCACATCCAACGGGATGCCATCAATAAACTACACAGAATCACACTACACACCTACGCAATGATTACATTCAGGCAGACTGTAGAATACAACCTCTTTGGACAATTTATATACTTATTGAAAACAAGCTACAACATGTAATATCTTGGAAAATGCCGTTTATTACTTTTTAATAGCCTTCATCGTCGCTAAATTGATTTATCAACTTTATCAACGGGCACCCTGAGTAATGCGAGTAGTTCATTTTTTGCCTAACTTTTGCTTTTTAGTTCTTGCGATTGCATTAATGCCAACATTTCTTTTGTCACAGATCTTTCTTTTCTGCAATATTCCCATGTCCAATTGAAAATTCCTATTGCCTTTGGTCGAGGAAGCCCTTAAGATGCTCACTTCCGTGTTGGCCTACACAAATGAATCATCGCTGCACCACATTATTATTA